AAACCATAAAGAAAAGGATCGTGGACAAACAACAATGAAAGGCTCTTTGGCCAACAACAAAAAAAAAATCGTTGACAACAACGAAATAAAGATCGTTGGCCACAGCTAAAAATACTATCGTTGGCAACAACAAGAATAGGATCGTTGACAAACCGCAAAACAGGATCGTTGACAGCAACGAAAATAGGATCGTTGTCGACAACCAAAAAAGGATCATTGGCAACAACAGAAATGTGACCGTTGACAAAAATAAAATAAGGATCGTTGACATAAGCAAAATTGAGATCGTTGACAACAACAATATAGTTGACAACAGCAAAAAAAGGATCGTTGACAACCACCATACTTCACTCCATAGGGTCATTGGCAACAACAAAAAAAGAGGATTGTTGACAACCACAAAGAGAATCGTTGACCACAAAAATTAGGATTGTTGACAAAAACAAAACTAGGATCGTTGGCAACCACAAAACAAAAGATTAAATGGATCGTTGGCAACAACAAACATGGGTCGTTGACAAAAACAATACTAGGATCGTTGACAACAACGAAGTAAGGATCGTTGACAACAGCAAAATTGGATCGTTGACAACAGCAAAAAATTAGGATATCGTTGACAACAACAACAAAAGGATTGTCAACTACCGCAAATGTTAGGATCGTTGACTAACGACAAAAAATAGGGTCGTTGACTGACAACAACAACGAAACAAGACCGCAGGCACGCGCGTGCGACAAGATATACATACCATACGCAAGTAGGAGGCTTATCTCTCATGTTGCGAGTGCCTCAAGTGGTAGATGATCATGATTGACCATGCGTCATCACATGGGGGGTGGGGGTCAACACCATCGCCGCCGCGGGCAGCACGGGAGGAATCCAAATAGGATAGGGCGCTGCTCACCTCTCCCTCTCGGATGGCCTGCATCGCTTCTCCGAGGCAGTGCGTCGCCGACGCGCAGGCGCTGACGATGCCGAAGTTCGGCCCCTTGGCCCCCGTCTCGATCGCGATCACCCCCGCGGCCGTGTTGCCCAGGAGGGCCGGGATCGTGAAAGGTGACACCTGTTGGGGGGGGGTAGGTGGGGTGGAATTTCCCCGATCCGACCCGCCGCGCAACGAAGGGAACGACAGACAAAAAAAGAACGAGAGAGGGAAATTAGAGAAGAGAACGAGAGGGGCCAAGGTGTGGGGGGGAAAACCGAATAGGACAAGAGAAAACGAGAGAGCGAAAGGAAGAAGAGGTCGTCGGGGAAAGAGAAGAGAACATTACTTGTATGCTAGAGAAAAAAACGAGGAATGGCACACGGACTCTTCCTCTTTGATTGCCACGCTCCGTCAACCATACTCAGATCACGCACGCATCTCGCTCTGGAGGATCGGAGCAACCACAATCCTTGCTCCTGTGAACAAACGCTGCATGCTTACTCCCTCTCTTGGAATGTACCAATTTGTTTCTTCCGTTCCAGAACAAATGAGGGGGGGCTAATCTACAGTACGGTCTCACCTTGCCCTTGTTCTCTAGGTTGAGCGTCTGCTTCTCGAACGTGTCCATGCCACCGAACGCCGAGCCCACCTGGAAACCCAGCGTAAGTTTGGGGGAACAACAAACACACACACGCACACACAGCAGGTCAAACGAAAGATCATCGTTAAGCCGTATAACAGCAAGATTGTTCTGCAACAGCAACAACAACAACAACGTATGGACCAACGATCGAACTAAAGTCCCAAACAATAAATTCGTGGTAGCTTGCTTCAAGACAACCAGCAACGAAAAATAGCGACACCAATGGTACGCACACCCACCCGCTTTCTTTGCGGCACAAGGATGCGAAGATGAAAAAAAAAAAAAAAGAGGCCGCGACGATCATGATTGATGACGAC